CCCCAAAACCCCAAAACCCCAAAACCCCAAAACCCCTAGGAAACATTCTTAAATTGAAATTTTATAAATTTATGGGGAATAAGACTTTTACAAGTATGATGAATAAAAATGAGGAAGAGACGAAGGAAGGGGATCAGACCCAGGACAACAGACAGCCTCAAAATGTTGAGGAAGCACAGCAATTGGATAATATTCCTGGGATATTACAGAATCAAGAACCTCCAATCGCAGTTCAACTTAATGCTGTTCCAGATAATTTGGATACTGAGAATGGTAATAATGAAGAAAGTCAAGAAGAAGATGACCGAGAAGAGGACCAAGAAGCTGAAGGAGAGGATTTTGTTGATATGGATCCTGAAGACCCACTCGGAGAAGAAGGAGATTTAGAAGATAGTTCAAGCTCGGAAGAAGAGAAGGAGATTGAAGGAGAAAATATTACTAAGAACGGATGCACTCATTATGCAAGGAATGCTGAATTATACTGCCATCAATGTGATAAGTACTTCCCATGTAGGTTCTGCCATGATGAGTTTTGGGAGTCTAACTTCAAAGAAGTCAAAAAGTTCCATAATTTTGATAGATTTAATGTCCAGAAGGTGAAATGAATTGAATGTGAAAATATCCAAGAGCCTCAAGAGAAATGCTCAAGCTGTGATATTTCTTTTGGAAAGTACGTTTGTTTGAAATGCAACTTCTTTGACGACAGAGGGCTCCACAAGCAAACTTTTCATTGCGATGGATGTGGAATTTGAAGGATTGGAGGGAGAGATAACTATTTTCACTGTGAAGTTTGCAATGCCTGTCTCCCAATTAGTTTGCAGAGTGGTCATAAATGAGGAGACTTCTCTCAAGATTGTCCGATCTGATTTGAAGGGTTTTATAATGCAAGACAGGGATCAATTATTTTAAAATGCGGGCATGTATTGCATTCCAAATGCTACAGAGAAATGCTGAAAGCAAATTACCTTTGCCCGATCTGAAAGAGATCAACTCTTAATGATGCTCAGACAGAACATGTAAATGGGCTCATTCAAAATCATATCGACAATACCAATATGGGGGAGGCAGGAGAAAGAGATGTCAACATTCTTTGTAATGAATGCCATGAGAAAAGTACAGTAAAGTTCCATATTGTTGCTCACAAATGACCAAAATGAGGATCTTTTAATACTGCTATGGATTAAATACTCAGCTTATATTTCAATGGGTGATTTTGATGAGGGGTTTTGGGGTTTTGGGGTTTTGGGGTTTTGGGGTTTTGGGGTTTTGGGG